TTATTTGACAGAGACACAGCGAGAGAGGGAACACAAGCAGGGGGAGTGGGAGAGGGAGAAGCAGGCTTCCCGCTGAGCAGGGAGCCCAATGCGGGGCTCGATCCCAGGACCCTGGGATCATGACCTGAGCTGCAGGCAGACACTTAACGACTAAGCCACCCAGGCGTCCCGACTATTTTTATATTTTTATATTTATATTTTGTATTTATATTTTAGGCCTCTTTTTTTTTTTGTAAATAAAAAGGCATTTGAACACCAATGGAAATTATACTAACAGGTTATTTTACAATGTAACCAAATTAATACCTGGGGCTTTCTTTATCATTATGTTAGTTTAAATATTAACGGAGGGGAAAAAATTAGCATTCTTTAACCCACAGGTTGGCACACTTCTGTAAGGGCCCAGCTAAGAGATACTTGAGGCTTTGCAGGCCATGCAGTCTTTGTTTTAACTACTCATCTCTGCCCTTGTAGTGTGAAAATATGTAAGCAAGTAGAATAGCTATGGTCCAATAAAATTTTATTTATGGAAACTTGGAGTTTGCATAAATACGGAAATTTGAAGTCTCTAATTTTCACATGTCATGACATTATTTTTCTTCTTTTTAAAAACGTGAAAACATGTAAACACTACTGGGTTGTAAAAAACAAAACAAAACAAAAAACCACTTCAGGTTGTTAAAAACAGGTTGTGGTTCAGATTTGGTCTGCCAGCTATGATTTGCCAACCCTTGTTTTAGCTTAAGAATGGAGAAAGCCAGTAGGTCCAAAAAGGACAAAATTTAGCAGTTGGGGTTAAGTATATGAATAATGATGTTAAATCTATAAGCATTTATATTTTGATTTTTTCTGGGCAATAGAGCTATACATTTTTGTGTTGTGTTTATATTATATTTTGCAGACTGTTGATATTCATAAAGAGAAAGTTGCAAGAAGAGAGATCGGTATTTTGACTACCAATAAAAACACTTCAAGGACACATAAGATTATTGCTCCAGCCAATCTTGAACGACCAGTTCGTTATATTAGAAAACCTATTGACTATACAATTCTAGATGATATTGGACATGGAGTAAAGGTAAGTATAATTTTTGTCAACCTTTTAAAAACAATAGTCCATAATGGAACTAACTCTTTAGAAAATTAAGCTTTTGTTTTTTCTTTCCTGGAGGCCCAAGTTTTGGCCCAGTTGTGGTTCTGAAGATTCCTTGCTGCTACAACTATTTTATCCTTCTTGCTGCTTCTTAGTGCTATGTTTTCAAGTTTTAAACAGTCATCTTTAAATGAATTGCGTTTATGTAACCAGTTATGAGACTACCTCATATAGATTGGGCAAATAAGTGTGGTATAATTTTTCTAATCTTTTAATGATTTAATATGACTGATTAAAAAATTACTCAGCATGTTCTTAAAGTATCTACCTTATCTCAAACATTTATCAACAAAGCTTTGGCATTTTCAGAAGGAACATGTATAAACAACCATGTGCTTTGAAACGTTCTAAAATAATTTTACCTTAACATTTTGGGTGAGAATAGTGTAGATGAAAGTAATATGTGAATTAATATTTCCACTGCTTGAGTATGTAGCCATTATATATTTTGGCTATTTTTTTTTAAATGTATTAGAGTGTCTGCTGTATATGTATAGTGCCATGATCAAAACTGAGGTGCATATAAATTTCATTTACTTTGGTATTTATACTTGAGAAACTATTTGGAGCTTCAGCTAAGTATTAAGTTACTTAAAGCTTTCATCTTAATCAGTGATTTGAAAGGCAATGACTTATCAAATGTGACTTTGAATAAATATTTACATACGTGAGAAACTGTATAGTTTATACAGTTGATGTATGTCTATATAAGCAAATTTAAACTAAAAAAAATACCCTACTACTATGGCTAGAAATCAGTTAAATGTAAATTTAATGTAGATCTGGGTAAAAGAAAATATACAGTGTAAATTTTTAAAAAAATTTTTTTCTTAGAATTTTGATATAAGGACTATTTGGAATTTGATATTTAATTTTATAAAATATTTAAAATTTTATAATTTTGAGATTTATTCAAGGCTAATAACTGCTAATAGAAAATTTTAGGGTAATGCCAGAATCTAATTACAAAAGGCACTTAGATGTATAAAACATATTTGTGCTTGTCCACTTACATAATAAACACATGATTTCCTTCCCACTCCAATTCTTTCTTAATTCAAGTCAAATGTTGTTCTTTTGGGACTCTAGTCTTTCTTGTTATTTGGACTTTTAGTGTTTAGGGATCACTATTTGAAGAAATCTTTAATAAAGTTAAGTTTTTGAATAAAACAATGTCATATAATTTCATCAAAAAAACCCTCCTGTTCATGACACATTCTGCTTTGACCACTCTCTCTATGATCTACTGAAACATTATTTTTTAATGCTGAATGCTTAACTTGTTTTTTCTTTGTTTTTTTCCTTTCTCTTCACATCCTGAAGTTCCAACTAACCTTTCAATGCTTTTTTCCCTTACCTCTTTTATTTGCTCCATTTATGCATTAAGTGGTTGCTTAGATTTAAGGTAAGAGATTCCAGGGCTGGATTTCCATTCTTTATTCTTATGTAGAGTATTACATATGGGGAGTGAAGAGATATTTGGCACTTGGCCTTCCAAAATCAACAAATAATTCCTCTTTTTAATTTTAAAAAATTTTTGTCATGCAACTCTGTGGTGTGTTTTCATGTTCTGTGAGGGCAGATTTTTTTGTCTGTTTTGTTCACCACCCTGTCCTGTGTGCCTAAAACAGTGCCTGATGCATATACTAGGTGGTTAATGTTTTTTATTCAAAAATGCTTATTTTGCAATGTTAATATATTTTGTGAAACTAAAATATAAGTTGCCCTATCATAAAATGTCTTTATGAAGTAAAATTAGATGGACTTTTGTAAATGTAGAATTTATTTTATGGATTGGAGGGCCAATTATTGTGCTTTATTTAACCCTCCCCCTGTGTAATAGCCTTTTTATTCTATAAATGGTGTGCTTTATTATACACCTTGTGGCCGGTATGTCATTATCTCTTGACTCTTATTCAATGTAAAGAAATTGAGAAGTGGAAAATATTCTGTGTTACAGTTTTTTTTAAGTTGCAGTATCATGTATTTTGCAAAAAGCAAAATTAGTTTCTCTTTCAAATTGCTATATAAGATATATATTTCAATATAAACTCACTCTAAGAGTTTTACTAGCTGAGTATTATATCAAAACATTAAAAGTTCATGAGTGTTTAACAAAATACACATTAAGAATTAGAGAAGTATTTGTTTTAGTAACACTTGAGGGTTTGTTTTTTCACATTTTAGTATTTTGGAGAATTAATGGTAAAAGACATTCAAGTGTATTCAAGAAGTGTTTAAATAGAAGGTTACTAAAATTATTTCACCAAACTGAGCATGTATTTCCTTTTTGTTCTTATTTTCTTAGCTGAACTTTATAATTTCTTTTCAAATACATTTTCTTTCCAAAACCCTGTTATTTGCCATGTCTTCAGTATAGAAAGTGTTAAGAAGATAACTGAGATCTGAATCATTAGCTACTAATACTAACTATGGCCACAGACATTTCAACAGATCCTGGTAGAGAGATGTGACTAGAGGAGTCAAGCAAATAAACTTATTACTGAGTAGAATGTTGGGTCCAAGCCCTCAGTCTTGGTGAGTGGGGCATGTGGAATTGTGAGGATATTCCTTCTGCATTAAATACAAAGAACTAGACCCAAAGCAGTGTGTGACTACCTTGGCTCTTTTCCTGTAAATACTATATTCAAATTTTAGCTATTGATGTGTTTTCTCCAAAGTGATAAAAGTGCACAGAAAGATTACCTGAAGGAAAAACACAGAAATGGACCAATTCTTTTCCCCTTTTAGACCAGCTTGCTTAAGCTACTATCCATATTTCCTCCAAACTCTACAATGATTCCTTCTTGACCTTCCTGGATTCAGGATCTGTTCCAGGTGGGAGATAGACCAAAATGAGTAGGAAATGAGAGAAGCCCCTAGAAAGCAAGGAAATACCACACTTGTATTAGATTTCTTAATGTCTTTGCTGTGTGTACCAGAAAGCTCCACTCGTGAGTACTGTGGCTCTATGTAGGTGTTTCTGCAATATCTGGGTAGGGTTGCCTGGTAAGAAGAGTACCCTGAATTCATCCTAGAAGCTAGAATGCACCAGTGCTCTGTCTTTTCTTTCTTCCTGTCCTCCTTGTGAATGTCTGTCTTCTCTGTAAACTTGTAGCACGTGGTTAATAATTTTAAGTGAACCAAAACAAAGTAGAGTGAAAAAAATGTTCAGCGTAGGGGGCCTGGGTGGCTCAGTCATTAAGCATCTGCCTTCAGCTCAGGTCGTGATCCCAGGGTCCTGGGATCGAGCCCCACATCAGGCTCCCTGCTGGGCAGGAAGCCTGCTTCTCCCTCTCCCACTCCCCCTGCTTGTGTTCCTGCTCTCACTGTCTCTCTCTCTCTCAAATAAATAAAATCTTTTTTTTTTTTAAAGAGAGAGTCTTTTTTTTTTTTTTAAGATTTTATTTATTTATTTGAGAGAGAGAGAGAATGAGAGATAGAAAGCACAAGAGGGAAGAGGGTTAGAGGGAGAAGCAGACTCCCTGCTGAGCAGGAAGCCCGATGTGGGACTCGATCCCGGGACTCCAGGATCATGACCTGAGCCGAAGGCAGTCGCTTAACCAACTGAGCCACCCAGGCGCCCTCAAATAAATAAAATCTTAAAAAAAATGTTCAGCATGTAACAAATCATTTCTCTTTTTATTCTGGTATTGAAACATGAGTGGTTTTGGAAGGGTTATTAATGGAATAATTTAATACATTAAAGTAGAAAATAGAATTAAAGAGGAAATGTTATAGTTGGAAGGGACTGCAGATAATAAACTAGTTCAGTGGTTTCCAACTGATCTTGGAGACCTGTGGATTATATCAAGTGCCCTAGAGGTCTCCTGATGTTTGTTGGTAGGATTATCTGCTACTTTGATTTCCTCAGTTCTCCATGAACTCTGTGTTTGCATCTGTTGCTGTCAGACTTTTGATGCCTCTCAGACAGACTCTAAACAAAGATCACACTTGGAGGCCATACACATGGGATTTGACTTAGAAGAATCCTCCATACTAAAAGTTGAATTTTTAACATTTTATATAGCATGTTCTCATGGTGGTTCATGGTCCTTTTCATCTGAAATTTAGGTTATTTTTTTCTTTAGTTGACTGGGGAGAACAAGTTGTAGAGTTTAATTCATAAGAACTTTGAAAACAATGTGGTGATATTTTTACAACAAAAGGCATAAAAAGCTAAAGGGTGGAATGCCATATTGGAAGTGTTTTCATATGTACCTGAGGCCATAGAAAAATGGAATTTACCTTGAACTGGGATATCTTTATTTGAAATGGATTTTTCTTTTGAAAGCAGTGAAATTGTCCCTCATGAAGCTAAGCTTTAGTACTTTTTAAATAAATATATTAATCAAAAATAGTAAGGACTACTAATCTGTTAGTGTAGTATTTATTTCAGTTGAACATGTTGTGCAAGCAGATTCTAAATAATGAGGAGGGGTTAAGGATTTGTTTTACAATTAACACATTAAGAATATAACACTTCTGAAAATTTTGCTTGGGATCTTTAAGATCCTTAACTTAACCCTGTGTAAAAAAATGGCTTTAGTTTTTCACTGGAGTGTGTTCTTTAACAAGTGTTGTCATTCTCTACAGAAGGATGATAAATTGCTTCTCACATTTCCAGCTTTCACGTGCAGCTGAGGGTTCACTCTTGAGCATTTATCTGACACATCATTTGGAGGGAAAACTCCAAAGCAGCAACCCTTGGGAGACCCACCTGGTTTTGCCTATTCCAATCTTAAGCCACCAGTTCTATTTTGGCAAAGGCCGGTTGTCAGAAAGTATTTTTAAAATCAAACAAATCTGCTCATCTTTATTCCTCTTGTCCTTCTTTCTTTACCTCTCTTCCCCCTTATGCCTACTCTTTTATTCCCTTATATCTGTATCGGATTATTTCAGGACTCTTAGTACCTTAGGCTTTTTGTCTTTCTCTTACTAAAAACTTTACCTCTTCTGAATTCATAGTCGAACTCCAGATTACAGCTTTGATTTCCCTCGAAAGATCTCCTGGTCTTTTCCTGTTAGCCCTGGGAATTGAAGTAGGAACATATATCCTCTGAGGAGAGGGATAGAGCCTCTAGGAAGCCCAAGAATTATGTCCTGGCTGGGACTATGGGGACTAATACTGGACAGTGAATGAAGGCCCAGAGGTGCCTGACCACAGCTTCTGCCCATCCTCACTACTCCACATCCAGATACAGACGATACATAGTCCTCTTCTCTCTGTGTATTGAAATCCTGCTCTTTTTTTTTTTTTAAACAACAGTCCAACTTAGATTTTTCTCCAAACCTTTCTGTAGTTTTTCCTTCTCATATTGATATTTCTTTTTTGGAGATTTCTATATAATTTGTAGACATTCTTTTTTGCTTAAAACATAGGAGTCTTATTCCAAAATACTCTTAAGTTCCTTAAAAGCAGAGGAATCATTTTATAGGCCTTTGTGTGCTGTTCTACCCCACCAAATGTCTCCTTTAGTTTTCATATTTCTTTACCCTTGTACCTAGTAGTCTGGTAGGTGAGTGGTTGATAAATGAAGGGTATACCACAGATACCATTTTAGAATGTGTCTGCCACTGTTTTATCATAGCAGGTCATATGTCAGTGGGAGATTTCTTCATAGCAGAAGTGATGTCCTTTGTGAACTAGAGATACCTGGCCAGCCAGCTTTATAAAAAATACTGAAGTTCACAGGGTACTGGAAAGCACTGAGTTTTATAATGAACATTATATTATGGTATATCAAGGTTCAAGGAGGTATTGAATGTACCAAAAAAGCATGGAGCAAGAAAGGTAGGAGCATTGTAGAAAAAAATATTAAGGCATAAGAATGGGCCTGATGCTTGGTGCTAGTTTGTAGAGATCTCCAAAGCCTCGGAAATAGGACCACTCTTTGAACATAAAGGAACTTTTCTACCTCCAGTTTTATCTGCATTCCTTAGTCACAGGCCAGTGGCAAAGTATTTGAGCTTTATCACTTAAATATTTCTTCTGCTTTGAGGGGTTTTTATTGGTAGGAAAAGAAGCGGGGGGAATGTTTCCTACTGTTCCTCCTTATACTTAAAACCTGCTTTACTTAGCTCTCAATAATGACTTTCCCCTTTATGGAAACAAAAAATACCCACATAATTGAATGATTGTTGCAGTCAGCCACCAAACTTCATTCTGATTCCCAAATAAGACTTTGGAAAGTATGATGAGCAATCCCACTCATGGTTCAGGACCATTAACTACATGTTTATATGCCAGAGGATAGTTCGGTTTCTGTTTACAATTTGTTTTAAAGTTTCATGTGGAATTGCTGTTATAAAGTGGGTTTTCTTCATCCCGAGTTCCTGGTGTGTTCTCTCTTTCTCTGTCTCTGTCTCTTGGTCTCTCTCCCTTGAGGTCCCCTTCACCATACACACAATTTAGTCCTGTGTTTTGCTGCTTGTGAGGAAATGTTGTCTCCCCATAAACTTCCCTCAAAATAGTGTTTAAGACCATGGCAGCTATCCAGTAAGTTTTTTTGTCAAATGATTTTATATTTGAAATATACTTTCTTAAGCTTAATTATAATACAGATCCTACCTATGATAAACAAATTAAGTTTTATTTGGCAGTTATTCCTGTTCTTTTTCCTTTTCCTCAAATTAGGTGGCAATATTTATATTCTTTTTTTTAAGATTTATTTATTTATTTGTGAGAGAGAGAGAGCACAAACAGGAGTGGGAGCAGAGGGAAAGGGAGAGGGGGGAGAGAAGCAGACTCCCTACTGAGTGCGGAGTCCCACAAGCCCATGACCCTGAGAGATCATGACCTGAGCCGAAATCAAGAGTGGGATGCTCCACTGATTGCGCCACCTAGGTGCCCCGCAGTATTCATATTCTGCATAGCATATTTATTGTTTTACTTAGCATAGAAGCATTTTTCACAAAGGAAAACCACCTTGAAGAAATATTGAAAAACTCTTTTAGCTTAATATAAGGGTACAGTATCAGTGATGTATAAAATTACAGATTTTTTGGACATTCTGCAGGGCCTCTTTGGTTTCTTCAGGGATTTAAGTTACTTATCCAAACCCCATAACCAAGCAGATACAATCATTTGATGATCCTATAGATCATAAAATGTATCAAGTTTTGTTTATGGAAATGTCCATCAGATTTTAATTTATAGATTGTTTATTTTATATTTTTTAATTGATTAAAAGATTTCTAGAAGATACTGCAATTTAAATAAAAACACCTCAGATACCAAAACATTGAATCAAAGTTGGAAAGCTGTTTTCAAGTATTTTAGCTATTCCATGTATAGAATAAAATTCTCTTTTACTTTTTCTGTCCCTGCTCCTTTTCCTTCCCGTTTCTAGCAAATTGATGTAGTTTAGTGTTGGCTCACCTACTTCTCTCTCGTCACTTAAAGTAACTTTGGGTTTCATGTTGTTTAAGGTTGAGCTTAAAGGACTTTGGTTACTACTATAAAAAATCTTCTGGTATCATAAATGAAGATTACAGTGTGAAAAGCTACTGGTTATTCATCATATTACTCCTAAAATTTTCCCCAAATGTGGATTGATTTTTTTCAAAACTTTTTCTGGCATTTTCATTTTAAGATACGATTAGCATACCCTCTGCTTATTAATGAGGGGAGAACAAGGAGAAGTTAATTTTTATTCTTACTTGATAACTGGTTTGTTTTGTATTTGTTTAAAAGTAACAATAAAAGGATTTCAGATAAATGCTTCACTTTAAAAATATTGACATCTGAAAGGTATCATTTGTCATTAAAGATTGTTTTAACATCACACACAACTTGTTCACTGGGCTATTTATTTGAAGAGTTTGTTTCTGGATATATTATTTCTTGCCTATTCAGATAACAAGTAGTATTTTAGGAGTTTTAAAAATTTCATTTAAGCCAGAGTTACTTTTGACAGCTTCAGTACAACTTCACAATACGATTATGATTTGTTTTCTTAAAATTTATATTTTGAAATTACAATTACAAATGTATTCTGATTTCAATGGTGTCCTGTCTTGCAGTTTCATTTTATAATTTGAATACTCCAGACATAACTCTTATTAGAAAAGTTAAGATCCCCCCCCCTTTTTTTGAAGTGTTTGGCAATCCAGAATATTAGGGGCTTAAAATAGGGTCAGGTATGAACCTATATGTTGACCATTTACTCTGACCCATTGGTAATCTCAAACAATTTGAGATTGCATTTGAACTATATTTGTGAATGACTTCTCTTACCCCTTTAAGACATCCAGATTTCTAGAGCTTTCTGTATAAGTTCTGATAAACTTCTTTGGTGCCATCAGTTGTTCCCAGATTACACTACTTTCCTACCTTTGCATTTTCAGTTAGAGATAAATAGTGAGGGGTAATGGCCCAGCTCTGATTTAGGACTCTGTTACATCTTTCCCATAATCTTTATTTTGGGCCTGAGTGGGTCTAATTCCCAGTGAAACTAGGACATTGCCAGTGGCCCCTGTATTGCTCATAATTGAATGGGATACCTCAGCCCTAACTTTCTAGTTCAGAGGTTTAGGAACATGCCTTAACTTCTGGCAGGTTTCAGGTGGGTGATTCCTTAATAAGAGAACATTAAAGAAATCTGAATTGTAAGGCTGATCCACTATTTTAAAAATTGAAAATTTTTTTCGGTATATCATACAGTTTAATTTATATTCTCTAGTTACAATGGATCAAAACTATACTGCATATTTTATTGGGAAATGTGTATTTTTTTTATAATATACTTGCCATCTAAAAAAAGAATTGTTTAAAGGCACTTGAGTTTCTCTTTATTAAAACTAAAGTTCTTATAGTTATCCTATTGAATTTCAATTAAATATAGAATCAAATAATCTAACCAGTGATCTGTTGGTGTGATGGCCTAATGGCAAATACAGTCTTTGCATATAATTATGTTTACAATCATTTGAAAATCTCATGTTAGGAAGAGTCCTTTGAGTACAACTGTAGAATAACAGTAGAGTAGAAATTGCATATGAAATGCATGGCCTCTAATTTTTTTTTCCTCTTTAAACCTTACCCTCCTTTGTTAAATAGCATAACATTATTTCCCACAAGTGATATTTTGTTTCACTACATACAAGTTTTGATTGTTCTTCAACATTTTTTTAGGTGAGTACCCAGAATATGAAGATGGGTGGGCTGCCACGTACGACACCTCCAACTCAGAAACCCCCCAGTCCCCCCATGTCAGGGAAAGGGACACTTGGGTAAGTATGTAACTAAGTAATAATTGAAAACCATTTCATGTAGTGTTGAAAACTAAACACTACATACATTTAAACTATTTTTTAATACTTGAAACAAGAACATTTTCTCCCTAAGATTAACTTTTTTGTGTGTGTAACTTTCCCTTTTTCTGGGAAACCTCTTTATACTTTAAAAAGATTTTGTTTAAACGTTATTTTTCTAATGAATTTTAAATTTGAGGTAAAATCCTAGTCCAAGTTCATGATTTATTATAAATTGCACTCTAATTTCAGAAAATTTTTGGAGTATTTCATACTACATTTGACTATGCTTATTTACACTATTCTTGTGAAGAACACTGTGTAGATTACAAAATTCTGTATATTCTTTGTTGTTATGAGAATATCGAGCTTAATTTAGTCCAGCAGAAGTGAGCTCTGGATTTGACTTCTGGCAGAAATGGCCAATTAACGTAAAAGCGTCTAACATTTTTCTTCGGTAGCATCATAGTATAAAAATTCGGTTTATTGTGGCACCTGGCTGGCTCAGTCAGAAGGGCATGCAACTCTTGATCTCAGGGTTGTGAGTTCTAGCCCCATGTTGGGTGTAGAGATTACTTAAATAAAGAAATCTTAAAAAAATTTTATCATGGAGATTTGTGATCAGTCTGGACATAATATATCCCAGAAGCCAGATGACTAAAACTGTGGTCCAGCTCTGCTCCTGCTCTTGTCTTGCATAGTCAGCCTCTTCACAATTCAGTTTTTTCATCTGTAAAAGGGGGTAATAATTGTCCTCTATTAACTTTTCAGAATCATTGTACTACAAATTGGATTTTTAAAAAATGTATAAGACAAAATGCTTTGACAACCATTGGCTTTATTACATATGCTTAAAATTTTTTTAATTGGCAATGTTGTTTTTGGCCCCCTCACCAAAAAAAAAAAAAGAAAGAAAGAAAATGACAGAAAACCTAATTAATCACCATGGGTCAGGGCGGAACAAAGATGAGTTAGGATATAAAAGAGGATAGTGTTGGAAGAAGAGTTACAGTTAGGACAGTGGGAAATAAAAGAATAAAAATGAATTCCAGCCAGAAATAAGATGATTTTATCTGGGGTCAACAAAACAAATTCTGCTTAGATTAGAGAGGAAATTAGTAGATCAAATAAGATTTAAACTTCAGGGTAGAATGTTGATGACATGATAGGGTGTAATTGTGCAGAGGTAAGAGTAGAGAGATCAAGAGGAAGTATTTATTTTCCTATGGAATGTCTACATTTCTATCATTTGTAGTGCCCAACAGATTTTGTTAGGTTTTAAGTCAAGATGGTTAGCAAAGTAACCCATTGTCATCTCGAGTAAAACTAAAACTTTGTGTTGCTCTCAAATTTTGAAGATTTATTCATATACCAGAATTTTTTCCCTTGTGTATTAGCAAGGGTTCTGCAGGGTCATTGGAGATCAGAGTTGCTGAACACCACAAGCCAGTTGATGGTCACAGCCTGACTTTTTTGCATAGTCTTTGCCTAGCCATCATATTTTGTTCTTTTGCCCCTAATTTTTTACTTTGTTTTTATCATTGCCTTCATTGTATTGTTCTCAGTCAGCAAAGGGTTTTTTCTTGCATGAAACAGAATGTTTTTATTGTCTGGGAAAATTGAAAATCAGATGTTTGGAAATTAAGCCGTTTCCTATCTTATGTTTTTTTTTTTATATTTACATTATAATTTCAGAGATGCCTAAACTTTTTAGTATTTTAAATCCAAGTTCCTGGCATTCCTTTTTCTTCTTTGGACCCAGTATCTCATTTATTGCCCTTTAATGTACACATGTATTTATGCAAGATTTTGAGGGTAGTAGAATGGACAGGGTCAAGGCAAAGTGATCTCACCCAAAATCAACGAACCATAACTTGAGTAGCCCAGGAGAGCAGTTTTAAAGGTACCCTGGGACTTTGCAGGGAGTGAATTATTGAGAATTTTACAAGGGAGCAACATCATTTCAGGAAAAGAAAGCTTTTTAATTTTCACATCTTGAGATCCTAATTTTTATTCTTTTAGAAACCAGAATATTATCTGCAAAATGTCAGTTTCATGTCAATTGAGTATTTATCATTGTCATAAAGAATTTAGAAACTTAGGGATGAGAGCTAATTTAATAATCACTAATGTGCCAATGTGCATCCTATTTCTGATCATATTTCCTTCCTTTTCTCATTCTCTTCCTTTTAAAGGAAATTTTGAGAAGGACATATATTAATAAAATCCAGTCCTTTTTGTGCTTTACAGTTCAAAACAAATAAGGTAGAAAGACTTAAATGGTCTTTTCTTTTTCTCTCCTTTTTAAATGTTGAACTCTGAGGAGGGCAGGAGGTAAAAGAGCAAGGTTAAAGTTGAAGGAGATGAAATGAGATTGGAGGGAGATGAAACTTGTATATTTCTGTGTATGGATATAGTTCAGTTTCTGTGTATTTACTCTATGGAAAGGGAAATGACTTGTTATAGCTGCTATTGATCTTCATTGTGGGGGTTGTGGAGCCAAATTCTGGATTTATTTACCCGACCTTTGAATATCTTTGGTTAGGGAGAGAGGGGTGAGGAAGATAATTAGTGCATTCATGCAGTGTAGTTGGGAAACTTTTCACACGGTATTAAAATAATTTGAACTCATACCCCCCACTCTACCCCCCCCCAAAAAAAGAGAGGACAGTCTGGGAAACACTGGCTTACTTGGTGGGAGAATCTTTGTGCTCTCAGAGGATGAGTGAACAAAATTGCATTAGTACAGGGAAATGAGGTTTGAGACTAAAGAATAGCAATAATCCTCAAAACCCCAATGGCAGAGAAGGGTTACTAAAGGAAAGACTGAAATCGGTAGCTGGGTTATGTTAAAACATGTTCCTGTCTCTAAATACAAATTGTATTTCACTACTGGCAACTCTTTGAATTTGTTGTGCCGAAACTTGCTAATCACACAATACATACGCTCTTCTTTTTGTAGGCGGCACTCCCCCTATCGCACACTGGAGCCAGTGCGTCCTCCAGTGGTACCAAATGATTACGTACCTAGCCCAACCCGTAATATGGCTCCCTCGCAGCAGAGCCCTGTGAGGACAGCTTCTGTGAATCAAAGAAATCGAACTTACAGGTATTTTCTCTCCCTCAGTGCAAATGTGATGGTCATAGTACCATAATTTGTTTAGATTACTTCAGTTAAATCTCTCTCCTTTTCCAAGCACTAAGTTCTTTTCCTCACTCTACTCCCCCAGACCTCATCTGAATCTACCTCTCTCTCCTCACGTTCTGATGCAGCTTTGAGGTCAGGAAGTTGAAAAAAACAAACAAACAAAAAACAGACATCTTAAAATACAAACTTCTCTACAAAATTAATAGTTATAGTTGACCTGAAAAAAAGTTACGGACCAGATATGGGAAAAATAGTTACAGATCAGATATGGGAAATTGCAAGTTGTTTTTTGGTGGAACTTTACAGATGAAAAACTATACATAATAAAACAGTAATATGGGATGGTACATCAAGATATCATTACAAATAAAATTAATCAACCTGTTTAGGAAAACTGTGTTTTTATTATAAAACAAGTTTCTTCAGAGCGTAAAATTTTTTTTTGTTCAAAAAATTTTATGTGCAACACATAAAATTTTTGTGTTGAACCCTACTACTTACCACTTATATTTCTGAGGAATTTTTCCTTCTTTCTCCATTTCAATTTCAAGCATCTTTCGATGCTTATTAAAATGTGGTCAGAACAAGTTTCTTGAACTCAGTATTTTTCCTGTTTTACTCAAATTAGTACATGAAGTGGAGGGTTTTTGCATTATCTTTCTTTAGCAGTACTCATTTCAGAAAGTTTGGGGAAATGCGGGTGATATCTGACTGTATATAAATAGTCCTGTTTGGGCGGCTCTCCTTTCTTCAGCAGCAGTGGGAGCAGCGGAGGAAGCCACCCGAGCAGCCGGAGCAGCAGTCGGGAGAACAGTGGAAGTGGGAGCGTGGGCGTTCCCATTGCTGTTCCTACTCCGTCTCCTCCCAGTGTCTTTCCAGGTAACACATGAACAGCGCCTCGTCTTCGCTTGTCTTTTTTGAATTTGAACTCAGTTTCTGATTTAATTACAGGGGCTTTCTTCCTGATCAGGATTTTTTTTTCCTTTTAGGACTCCATAAATGTTGGGAAATCTTTATGCATTTGTCATTTTTAACCAAGCGATTTCTGAGTTTATGCTCACATACTTCTCTGTTATTTGGCTTTGGGTCTTTGGTGCAGTGGCTCAGTTGGTGCTTTGAGGTTTCAGGTACCTCCTGGGTGTGATTATGTTTAATTCCAGCTAGTGTTACGACATTGCATGTGTCTGGACACGGTCAGTGTTAGAGTCACATTGGTAACAAAGGATTGGAGAAATTTAAAGGTAGTTCTGGCAGTTAAATTTAGTGGACTTTTGGAACTTAATACTCTCTGAAATACCTTTTTTTCCCCCGAAACATAAAAATGTGCTTGTTTAATGTGAAGACACCAAAGTTAAAATTTAGTTTTAAAAGCATGACACAGAAGACCTAGGGATAGAATTTTTAAATTTAATTTACTTATCATGATACCAAATAGATAATATCTTTTTAAAAATCATGAAAAAGATTTGTGTTTTTCTAAATTTTTTTTTTAACCTAATATGTTTTTGTCTGGAATAAGTGTTTATTTTCTGACTTTTGTAATTCAAAATGGAATACTGTTTCCTAATGTATTATGTTTAGTTTTATATACTATTTACAAAATACAGTGCTAAAAACTACGATATAAAGGGAACATCTTTCTTCCAGAGTAGTGGCTTTCAGGTAAAATGGAATGCTGTTTTTAATGAATTAAAAAATCTGTACATTACCCTGAGCATTTTGAATTATTTGCTGCAAACCAAATAATCCTTTAATATAAGCTTCATTCTTTTTTTTTTTTTTTTTACCATTCTCTTCTATTCTTGGGTTAGTGTTAGGCACTGAATATTTAACATTAGGTTCTGAGACCTTTTCTAATCCCACCTAATGGGCCTGCCTCATTAATGCTACCTCTTACTGTCTTTCCCCTCAGCCCCTGCTGGGTCTGCTGGTACTTCTCCCCTTCCTGCTACTTCTGCATCTGCCCCTGCCCCTCTTGTTCCTGCTACTGTCCCTTCCTCCACTGCCCCAGACGCTGCTGCTGGGGGGGCCCAGGCCCTTGCTGATGGCTTCACTTCTCCAACTCCCCCTGTTGTTTCTTCCACTCCCCCCACAGGTGAGTACAGCTTGTTCCTTTGGCAGGCACATCCAGTCATCTGGCTCTTTTACCTGGAGCTCTGGCTTTATGACTTTTGTTTGTGCCGTGTGTGTGTGTGTGTGTGTGTGTGTGTGTGTGTGTAAAATCTGAAGAACAATGGACTAACTTAGAAAATGGCATGTGACCAAAAAGTAGAATTTCCTGAGGAAGGGTAAAGTTCACATACATTTCTCCAGCACAGTAACACAAATATACATTTTTTTAATTGCTTGAATTTCATTTACTGGAGATTTGTGAATTTAGTATGGAGCCATCTTCTGTACAGTTTTGAGAAGTTGTTAGAAATAGTGTTGCAGATTAAGTCTTTAACAAAGAGAAAAGCCTATGGAAAGAATTTTAAGGTATATTTTATAGGAAATCTTTGATGTAACAGTTTGGAAGTCTCCGTAAGTCTTTTAAAGCAGCTCTGGAAACACATAGACAATGGACTTTTTAAGAATTTCAGGTTTACGTAAGTGTTACTTAAGGTTGAATGGTGTTTTAGTTTTTAAAACTGCATCCTAAAATCTGTCTTGATGGGGAAGGGGAAAAACGTTCAGTTGCTACAAAATATATTTGCAAAGTTAATAGTGATGCTGATTATTAGCAAACAAATTCTTTATTATAAAAATGTATGTGTTTGGACATGCATCACCTTAGCTTGTCAAATACTTCATAGAATATATATTTAGCTCTGCTGCTATAACCAGATGTTTAAATGTGTTAAAGGACACTTTTAGCTAAAATGGATTTTGGATGTTGTTTTATGGGATAGCTTCTATAATAGAACTTTTTAAGAAAAGCTTTCCATTGTAAACGTAAATGTGGGCTATTCTTTGATATACACATGTTTCTGTTAGGACAGACCGTCTAGTTAAATATAGGAATCTTGTTATGCTCCAGCACCAGTGAAGTAAAAAATACATCTTGAAGTTGGTTGTAGGCCCAGAAGGAACAAATCACTCCCACCCAAGAGTCAACATTTTTGTAATAAAATCATAATAGGTACTGCTTCATAGTCTGCACTGAATAAACATTTGTTATATGAGTGGATAAGTTTACTTTTTCTTAACAAAAAGCAAGGTGAATGCCTTAATAACAATTTATGTCAGTATACTTTATTTTATACTGTCTTTGAATCACCAAGTACTTTTTTCTTTTCTTCTTAAGGTATAAGTTACATACAGTAAAATTCACCCTTTTTAGCATGTACATTTGTGTCAAATGTATATAGTGATGTAACCACAACTCCAGTCAAGATGTAGAATAGTCCTATTATCTGCAAATTTCCTCTATGTTCTTTGTAGTCAGTCATTCCTTTTTACTTCTAGCCCCTGGCAACCCTTTGATCTGTTTTGTTTTGTTTTGTTTTTGTCTCTAAAGTTTTGCCTTTGTAAGAATATGTAAAATAGAAGCGTATGGTATATAGCTTTTTGGGTCTGTCTTTTTGGCACTAGTGCATTTGAGATTTATTCATGTTGTTTCATGTTTCATTATTTTGCTCCCTTTTATTACTGAGTAGTGTTCCATCATTTGGATGTACCACAGTTTATCCCTTTCCCCGTTGAGGGACGTTTGGATTATTTCTGTTTTGGGGTTTTTATGAATAAAATTGCTGTAAGCATACACATGCAGACTTTGTGTGAGTGTAGGTTTTCAGTTCATTTGGGTAAACACCTAGGGAGTAGAATTGCTGATTTGTATGGTAAATGAATGTTTAATTTTATGAGAGACCATCGAATTGTTTTCCAAAGCAGCTGAACACACCGCCACCGGCAGTGCGTGAGACTTCCCTGCATACTTCTTAGCACTTGTATTGTCCATTTGCCTTTTTTTTTTTTTAATTTAGCCAGTCTAATAGGTACACAGTAGTTTCTTGTGTGGTTTTGGTGTTCATTTCCCTAATGACTAATGATCTAGAACATTTTTTTGTGTGCTGCTTTGCCATCTGTTTATCTTCTTTGATGAAATGTCCTTTCAAATGTTTTGCTCCCCTCCACACACCTTTTGAATTGGGTTGTTTTCTTATCAAATTCCTTTATTTCTGAATGTAAGTCCTTCATCAATTATACGATTTGGAAATATTTTCTTCCATTTGTGACTTATCTTTTTATTCTCTTAATGGTATCTTTTAGAAGGGGAGTTCTTCATTTTGATTGCATCTGGTTCATTGATTGTTTTTTTTTCTTTTATGGATTGTGCTTTCAGTGTCATACTTTCAAACTTGTTACCTTACACAAGGTCACAGATTTTGTTCTGTTTTTTTTTCTAGAACTTTTTAGTTTTAGATTTTATAGTTAGGTCCGTGTTAATTAAACTGTAGTTTTGTTTGCTTTTTTAACCCGAAGCAAAGTAAATGCCTTATTAATTGAATGAATAGAGTCTTTTTGTTTTTTAATTACTGCGGACTTATGTGAGATTTTAGACTGGATCTAACTTTATAAAATTCATACTGGTTTAATTATCAGATGCTTTTAACTTGAAAATGGTAGGTTTGTTATTAGTTTGTTACAGATTGATTACTAAAATGCCAATAATGTATTTGTATCTGGTGATTCAAATGACAAAATGTACCTTTTAATTAATAATTTATTAGTTTATATATTTTTACATTTTTTATCATTGTTACAGAGACTTGACAGATTATGTTTAAGCTTGAATACTCCAGATTTTTTGTACAACAGAATTGATTTTTAGGTTTTGATGCTGTCATAATGTAAAATGATATAGCAGATCTTGAGTACTTTTATAATATTTTTTATATGAGTTCATATGAACCCAAGTTTGATAAAGTTATGGAGTTACTGAAGCCCAATTTTACTTAGGTAAACCCTTTTTACGATCATGGATTAGATGAAAAATTGCCAGAAGTGTTTTTCTTTCTTTTCTCCTTTCCCCCTCCCTTTCTTCCTTCCTGCACTTTCTCCTCCTCTGCTCTTCCCTTTCTCTCTCCTCACCTCCTCTCTCGCTTCTGCTCCCCCCCTCCTCCCCTCACCCCCCTCCTTTCTTGCCTGCTGGAGTGACCTCTCGTGGGTGCTCCCGTGCTCTGTCTGATCCATCTGTAATAGTAGGCCTCCAGCTGAGTGAGGTGAGGTGTAAGTGGAGTCAAGATAAAATTTAGGAACTGGTTGCATTAGGGAATTGGATAGATTAAGAAAGAATGTCTTTAGTTAGCATTAGCTGTTGAAGTACTTGGCAAAATTGAGTGAAATTGCTAATAAATATTATAGGTTTGGAGATAGTATTACAAATAAGATATATTTTGATTCACTTTTTTTGTATCTTAACTTTTTTCTTAATTGTAAATTTCTAAGCTCTAATTTTAAGACAAAATAATCTAACTTTGGAGATGGAGATTTTTGATTGAATAAAGATGTGTTTAATTTGGAATTATGTCACCTGATTGCTGAAATACTTTGTTTTGCTTTAAACTGCTTTGCCACCTTAAATTTGCTGCCATTATTATTATTATTATTTTGGATAAGACCGTGTGTCAAACATTTTTTCTTTTGCTTTCCCAAATGTCATTCTTGTTTAGTTTAGTTTTGTTTTTTTAAGGATTTATTTATTTATTTTACAGAGTGGGGGTGGCGGTGGGGAGGGGCAGAGGGAGAGAGAATCCAAGCAGGACACAGGGATTGATTTCAGGAGCCTGAAATCACCACCTGAGCTGAAACCGAAACCAAGAGTCAGGTGCTTAATCCGCTGTGCCACTCAGGTGCTGCTTTTTCTTCCTCCCTCCCTCCCTCCCTTTCCTCCCTCCCTCCCTTATTTCCTTCCTTCCTTCCTTCCTCTTTTGAGAGAGAGTGCATGTGAGTTGGGGGGTGGAAGGGCAGAGGGACAGAGAATCTTAAACAGGCTCCACATCCAGAGCCAAGTCTGACATGGCACTCGATCTCACAACCCTGAGATCATGACCTGAGCTGAAATTAAGAGTCAGATGCTTAACCTACTGAGCCACCCAGGTGCCCTTTGTCTTGTTTAGTTTTTAGTGGCCATTTTTGGGGGGTAGAGGAGGAAGTAAGCCATAAATTTTAGTTGTGATGATTTTGAAACCCTATCAAATTATTAGTTTAATAAAATTGTAATTAGTAATCTATTTAGAATGTAGCTTTTCCAAACCTAATTTTATTTACTTATTTTCCTGCTTTTGCACTTTGATATCAGCTCACCAATAACTGTGACCTTGCATGATGTTTATCAGATAGCAATTAAATTAGCTAAACATTGTTATTTTTAATAATCTTATTAAAATTCAGGCAATGTACCTAAAGCATTTCATTGCCTGAGATAATTATCTTTTAATGACAAATTTATGCTCTGTCCCTTTTCCAGGTCATCCTGTTCAGTTCTACAGCATGAACAGACCTGCTTCTCGCCATACTCCTCCAACAATAGGGGGCTCGTTGCCCTATAGACGCCCTCCTTCCATAACGTCGCAGACAGGCCTTCAGAATCAGATGAACGGAGGACCTTTTTATAGCCAGAATCCAGGTTAGATTTTCTTTTGCATTCTGTAGAATATATCTAATTAGAAATTTCAGTTACAGGGGGAAAAACCTTTAATTACAAATTACTAACACATAATAGGTGTTTAGTACTGTTTGTTGAAAGAATGGAAGAATGAATACAAGGTTGCTAATACTGTATCATCCAGTTCCTTTTTTTTTTAAATCAGTACATGATTTCCATATAAAGTTGTCGAACTTAATTTTTCTGAACAGAATCTTTGTGCTAGTGATTGTTTGCTTTTAAGAATAATGTTGTAGTGAACAGTATTTCCTTCTTATTTAATCAGATATCCTTGCTCTATGAATACCAAATAATGAAAATTGAGTGTTCATGAACAGAGTTTGTAAGTGGTGTAGTAAAACAGAAATATTTTTGAAGCTATTTGTGCTAGGCAGTTATGCGATCTTACTCAATTCTCATACTAAACCCATGATGGGAAAGCTAGGACGTGCACAGATTGGTCCAGATATTACAGTCATCTTTCTGTTGCATCATGCATACAGAAAAAATCTGGCACATATTTAAACCATATGTAGTCATTATTTTTGCTTCTTCCCCAGAGAGGGTAAGAGCAAATATTAGACCGTTTGACTGTTGTGGACATGGTATAGCAACTTACTGTGTTTTTCTGGAGTTTTGCCCAGAGGCCAGTAAGCCTGTGTATCTTTAATATTAGGGGACAACCCATTCCATCTCTGATAAGCCCTGAAACTGGTCTACCGTGGCTACTATCTTTTGGTGAAACTTTATTTCTTTGGAGTCATGCAGAAGAAATTTGATCCTCCTTCTACATAACTGCAGTTTAAAGAATGCTTTTATATATATTATCCCATTTGATTCTTATAATCATGTGATCATTTTCATCTGTATTTTGTAGGATGAGAAACTGAGGTGACATCAGGTTAGGATTTGAACTTAGGTCATCTGCCTCTAAGTTCCATGTTCTTTCTTCGTACTAGCCTCCCTACCTTCAGATTTTAAAAAATCTCTCTTTTACTCTCCTAGTCTTCTCTTTGGTGGGGGGGTGGGGGGGTGAGGAGCATTATCCACATTGTGATATAAAATGCATGAGAGCCAGACACCCTGTTAGTCTTTTATACAGTTTGATCCTGGGAATAGTGCTCAGTAGATTCACTGGTTTTCTGTGAGATGGACATTTGGCAGCACTGTTACTGTATTTGGTTGGGTTTGAAAGGGCATGATAACATAGGGATTAAAATATGGAACACCCAGCGTCTAGTGCCAAGTCATAAGAGTACAATAATTGTTTTCTAATGAGATTATTTCAGAAGCAAGTTAATGAAAGGAACACTTTGATCAGGTCTTAACTGAAACCCCTTTGGTTGTCATTGATTCTTAATAATCTAGCCAAAGAAATAGGAACACCAATTTATTATTCATCTTGTCAGCAGCAAAGAGGGTTACCAAAATAAATAGAGTTAAGCATAAGTTAACAGTTTTTAACCTTAAATATGAAGGTGAAGGCCCTTGGTGGTAAAGAAGTATGTGTGTACACACACGCGTGCATACACACACACACGTACATTTACATATATAGACCTAGTTTGGTAAGTGTCCTAGTTCAGGCTGCTGTCATAACGTGCCATAGGACAGGGTGACTTATAAATAACAGAAATTTATTTCTCACAGTTCTGGAGGCTGAAAGTCAGATCAGGGTGCTAACATGGTCAAGTTCTGGGGTTCTCTTCCAGGTTGCAGACTGCTCTCTTCTCGTATCTCACATGGTGGAAAAAGAGAGGGAGTTGTCCAGGTCTCCTTTATAAGGGCACTGATTGCATTCATGAGGGGTCTACCCTCATGACCTAATTGCCTCCCAAAGACCCCACCTCCTAATACCATCACAGTAGAATTTCATGAATATGAAATTCAGGGATGCATAAATATTCAGTCCATAACATTAAAGAATCAATAATAATCAAGGTCTTTGGTAATAGATAATCCTGTATTTTACTGCTCACAATTTCTTAAAGCAAAGACTAAAAAATCTAATTCATAAAGTGAAATGTTGGTTCCAAGAAATGTGACTGTATATAGTTATATGAGAGAGGTATTTATGAACAAGAATGGTATTTTACACAGGGAAAATATCAAGCTGTAACCACTGAATGTTATTAAAAACAACTAAAAAGAAACAGTGAAAAAATAATATTGGGTTGGTGGTATTGCAGAAGAGAAGCCATTAATATATATCCTCTAAATGATAGTTAAGTTACAGCATTACCATAAATTTCCAGAAGAATACAGATGTGGTGGGGCTTTAGCAAAGTATGAATAAAGAGCAGTAGCAAGAAGCAATTTTCAAATCCATATATTAGGCAATCTTGAGGGTTTGTTAGAGAATGCTTACTCTTTTTTTTTTTTTAAATGCTTACTGTAATGAGAGCAAAAAAACAGGAAAACAACTGAAAAGTGTTACATTCTTAGATGACCATGTAAACCAGATAAACCCTTTGTACTGATTATTAACAAGCTGTGTTTTTAAACTTTGTGTTAATTTGCTACTTTTTCTTGGCATGACATCTTATGGTGATTTTTTTGCTTGAAAAGGAATAACAATGATCCAATTCTTTTAACCCTTCTGAAACTACAGAACTGATAATTATTTGGTAACCATATTCTTTTCCATCAAAAAGCCTCCTTACTGGGGTGCCTGGGATCAAGCCCCACCTCTGCTCAGCAGGAAGCCTGCTTCTCCCTCTCCCACTCCCCTGCTTGTTTTCCTCTCTCGCTGCCTCTCTCTCTGTCAAATAAATAAATAAAATCTTTAATAAAAAAAAGCCTCCTGAGTATGATTAGTTGAGTTCACTTTTAAATACTCCCTGCTGTTCGTGTTTAGGAAATATTTCACTCTTAAAATGAATTGCTTAAATCATTTCCTTCACTGCAATGTAAAATATAAGCACCTAAACTTGAATGTGCTCTCAGATGTCTATAACCTCTAAAGGTGGTGGGGTTTTTTTTAAGATTTATTTATTTATTTTAGAGATGGTGGGGGAGGGGGAGAAGAAGAGAGAACCTTAAGCAGACTCAGCACTGAGTGTGGAGCTCACTATGGGGCTCTCACAACCCTGAGATCATGACTTGAGCTGAAACCAAGGGTCGGACACTTACCTGTGCCACTCAGGTGCCCCGGTGGTATCCTTTAATGGTTTTAAAAGTAGTATTTAGAATGTTTATTATGTCTGATTTTCTCAGAGTATTTATAAATCTGTAGAACTAAGTTGTAAAATTCCAGGTTATTTTTTCAAAACGCTTTGAAGTAGACATTTTAAAACAATAAGTCTCAAAGATTATGCTCCAAAGGATTTTATAAATAACCAGGAAGGTCATGTTTGGAAAGTCTATATTTCATCAGCACAGGCTCATCCTCTAAGTTTGGTTTGCTTGCAGAGCCTATTACTTTATACATGTCTTCTTGTTGCTGTGTGTAGAACTTGAGATCTCTCTATAAACTCCAGTTTGGTGAGGCCATCTCTTCACATTAACATCGTTAGTGTATATTGTGAACATAAAACTCCTGAATCTAACTTTGGAGATCTTTTGGTGGTTATAGGGAAAGGGTCTTGTCACATGAAGAATCATCTTAGCTAAGTAGAGTGAAAACAAGTATCTAATTACCTCTGCTCTTCCCTGTTCACAAGATGCCTGGGACTAGAACCAAATATTGCAGGTAATTCTTCTCATCAAAATCCTGCTTAAATCTCCTAGAATGGTTCATTTTCAGCTCAGCTGTAAGGACAATAAATCTAGTCTCAACAAGGATGTTCTGGTTCACAGGAGTTCTGGTCAGATGAAATCTTAACATGGTCCGGAAAAAAAATCCTGTGATATCTGAATTAATTTGGACCATCACATTAAAATTTTGCCCTGGGGGAAAAAAGTAACATTTGGGGTGACCTTTGTAAACTCTGTTTGGAACTGAATTTTTTAAACATGGTCTGGCTTTGAGAAAAATCCAACTTGTTTTGTTACAAAGTAAATCTGTTTTAGAAAGATTTGTGATTGGTTTTTACCTGGGCTGTTCTTGGTGGATTTCTTAAAACCATATGGTTTCAGATTTTCACTTGCAGAACTAGAAAAGAAATAGAACATACTCATCTTAAAAAATAATAATACACTTGATCTACCTACAAAAAGACTGTTCTGAGTTAAGCTCCTAATCATTTTGGTTTTGCTGAGCACCAGAAGGTCATTTAAAAAAAAAATTGGATGAGAAACAGTGACCGAAGTGGGGAATTCCCTACTTTTCTGTTACAGGACAGGTTGGGACTGGTACTAACAGAAGAGGAACATTTTCATCTTATTTGATGGGAACATACACCCAATAAAAACTTTCCTAGAATGCCAGTTGCTGTTTGCTTCTTTTTCTCTTTTATCAGCTTTGTCTCTGCTACTTCTGTGTTCATTATGTCATCTTCTTTCTCCAAGTTTAGAAACACAGGGTATTGGGAACATACCGGCAATTGTCCCAAGCCTCCGCGAGGGGGAGACACGGCATCAAAGGGTTTACTACCAAGAAATAATGACTTTAGGGAAAAACCTAATTAAAAGGTGTGTTTTAAGAAAGTACCCATTTCTAGGGTTATTCTACGCTGCCCCTTATGTCTAGATATTCTTCGGTATTGACTAATAGCTTAACTCTTGTCTGTATGTCATCTGCGTTCCTTAGTTACCAAGTGGTCCTTTTTCACACTGTTACTAAGTTCTCTTCTCTTCTTTGTGCTTATGCTGCCTTGATTTTTGGGGGCCAAGTCCTGGGTTAGGCATTCTGCATGCATTAGTTTTTTGTTTTTGTTTTCTTTTTAAGTCTTGGCAACCACTCTGTAAAGCAAACCACTCTTTTTCATCACATTTATGGATTAGGTCCAAAGAAGTTATTACTAGGTGTTTAACAAGGAAGTGGGGAATCATATACTTGATGCTGAGTGACTTTGAAGCCCAGTCTCTACCACTGGGTACTC